CATACAAAAAAAATATATACATAAATGCTACATATTTTCTTTACTGCAAGCTTTGGTAGAACATCTGCAGAACAGAATGCAATCGTTAAGTATCTATATATGTTCTTCTGCTAATGCAGCACCAACAAAGAGGTAAAATTAGAATCTGGTTCAAATTAGAAACATTAAATGCTTATTTGCAGATTTATTTCAAACAACCCCTTGCTCTAGCTTCTGCTTCCATGTCCCTGTTGGTAGTTTGTGATGTATCTGTTATAAATAGGGATTCTTCCAACAACAGATTAATTGTCTGCAATTTTCCATAACAACTGTAATTTATCACACTAATGTAGTTCATGCACACATTTACACTTTTTAGCTATTAAATTTGGATCATTGTCCTAACTTTAAAAAAAAATAAAAATCTGCCAGTGACTTTACTAGATGTATACTTTTATAGGCCACTTCAAAAAGTACAGAGGCTCAGTAAATGCAAGATTGTAACTGAGGCTCCAAGCATCTGTTATGCTAAGCAATAACCAAGCCTAGGAAATAGAAAAGTGACTGATCTAATCCAATGGATCTAATGAGCCTATGTATTCAGACTGAGGAATAATTGTAAGTTGTTCATTTGGATCAGTGAAAACCTCTTCTAATTTGTGTGGGGTCCTGCTTCTTCCTTTCAGTTCTTGGAAGACTACCAAGAATATTAGCTAGAGAGAAAAGGTGGTGGAGAAATGGGTCCTAGCATAGGTGGATTTTCCACCTGGTGCAGCAACCCAATGACCAGAACAGTCTTTATGTTGTGTCCGTAATCAGGATTTCAAGATTCCCAAAGCATTATGTTCAGAGCTTTCTCTTCAGACTAGCATTATTAGGATTATCATCATGAAACTCTGATGCAGAGGGCCCCTAAGAACTCCCTAAAATGTGTTGGCTGTTTAAATTGATTACTGTGACAAATAAACTTTACCTATACTCATTCTACAAACCCAGAGATGTTTACCCTAAGGACTTACTCAGGGTCTTCTGTGCACAAGAGATCTGCCTAAAAAGTTATCATGGTTCTTAGAAGACCTTCAGATGAAGGGTAATCTCTTACCAGACATAGGGGTTGATTTTTTAAAGGCTAATAGATTGTGCACTTTGCAAGTGTATTTGCACTCTACAAGGGCATTTGCTCCAGAGCTTAGTAAATGAGGGAAGTTCTGCTGACTTCCATTATCCAATCATGTTCAAGCAGAAATGCTGTTTTGTTTTGTTTTTCCTTGCATATGATAGGGTATTCTTTGCAAATTGAAGCTTCACCTCATTTTCTAAGCTCGGAGATTGCAACTGCACTTGCAAAGGACACAGTATATTTGCCTTTAGTAAAATCAACCCCTATATATACAACCACCATGCTTCCAGGACAAGGATTTTCCAGGATTTTGTTTAGGAATGAATTATCGAATGCATGCATAATTATATAGTGTTTTTCCTTGATATTGGAATTCACGTTAAGATATATGCTGCCTCTAGGCTTTCAGATGCACAGATTTGAACCTTTGAACTATTTAATGGGTTGGGAAGATTAAAAATTCAGGAGACCTGGAAGCAGCAACCCCAAGGACTTGCACTCTTATACATACTCTAGGGAGGGATGACAATTTAAGGCAACATGCAGTCTCTGTCCCTTGTGTGTCAGATAAAAGGATCAGATAAAAGATAAGCAAATCAATAAGCCAAGTCGGCATGTCGTGAATAATTTCTCTTAATATATTCATGCAGATGTGCTCAATCTACTGATAATCACACAATGTAAGAATCACAAGTGCCTGAATTTTGAACTGCAAGATTTTTGCTATTCCTTTCTCTATATATTAGACACCAGGAAGATTCAGACAGAAAAAAAACTAGGCTGCCCAAGAATGTGGATGCAGAAAACACTAGATGCCAAGGGGTACAGAAATAAAAATTGCCATTAGGACAGTAAATGAGAGCAAGTCTCCCAACTAGGGATATAAATAGCAATAAAACCTGACAGAAGCAATAACCTTTCCCCATCTTTTTTAAAAATCAGTTCAAACTGAAATATGCTAAATAAAAAAAAAAATCTGAATACATAGAAAATACATTTTGTTCATGAAATACTGGATATTGTTTAAATACTTGGATATAATGATGGTATGAAACAGTGCACTTACACGCAATATAATGCTTTTAATGCACTTGTTTTACATCATTGATTTGACTCTTAGGGCTCATTCACACTTGACTAATTTCTAACACTTGCCATACACCCCTATAGCATTTGACAGGCGTTAGACAGGCATTTGGGAAGTGTTTTTAACGCTCCTCAAACGCTCCCCAAACACCCCATGCACTTTTTTGAGGCATTTGCCAAGCGTTAAAACCACACCACAAATGCCTATAATGAAGTTTAATGGTATTAACGCTCTGCAAATGCCTCATAAACGCCTGCCAGGCGTTTGAGGAGCATCACCATTGACTTGAATGGGAGACTTCAACTCCTCCTGACTCAACATGAGGCGTCAATTTTGCTATGACACACAGCACTGCACTGCACTGTGAGCTGCCATGTGTAGAATTTTCATAGGCGTTTGGGAAGCCTGCTAACAAAGCTAGTGTGAACTTAGCCTTAAAGTGTTACTAAACCCAGCACCCTGCATTCACTATTTCTGGTCACCCACAGTACACAGAACATGGAAATGCAATTATTATAGTAAATATAAACTGTTAAATACCTTTTCTCATCAACAGTTAGAGCAGTCTTGTGACTTCTGTCAGTGTTCAGCAGAGCACTGGTTATAGCTTGTAGGAGGAGTTTTCATTCTCCTGTAGGAGGATGGAGAACCCCTGACTTCTGTCTGGACAGTGCTGATTGGCCCTGTGCTGATCACATGCACTCTCCCAAGAAAAAAAAAAAACTCTCTAGCAATACACAGCAAACTGAGCATGTGCAGCTTGCCCCAGAGCCTTTGTTCTATCAGCATTTATTTTTAGTAGACACTGGAAGAAGGGGAGGATAAGAGAACTTGGGATCACACATTCCTTTTACACAATGCAGAGGATTAACCCCTTAGTTCCCACAGTGAGTATAACAAGCATGCTTTACTGCACATACAGACTGATTTCACTGTTGTGGGTTTAGTAACACTAACTTTGATTTTCTCAGAGGAAGGTTTTTTTGAAACTGCATGTTCCTATGGCAGAATTGGCATTTGACCGGAATGTACCTTGGCACAATTTTGCTGGAAAAATGACTTATCAGCAACAGCCAGTGATCAAGTTTTACATGCAAGGACATTATATAAGTATACAAAGCAAGGCTAAAAGCACCCAAGCTCATTGGTTGCGCTATGACCTTTCTTCAAGATCGATGCTTAATATCCTCTGGGTATATTTTCAGGAATATGCTATGTTTAATAAATTATTTTATTTTTTCACAGTCTAATCTACAGGGTTTGATTTAGTGGTTCACAATAGGAAGTTCTTTTGATGGGTTTAGGGGGGACTGGTAATTTTATCATTATCAACAGTTTAAACTGTTGTCTAAAGTCACATTTAAAATGTTCAGTTATTAAAGCAATCCTTTCAGAAAAACATTTATAGATAGCTGGTTGTGGTAGTGTACTTTCTGCAGTGTTAAATCGGACCAGAACTAAAAATGTGGAGATTTTGCCTAAAAAAAGTACCCTTTTTCAAAAATGTTTGAATTCCCCTTGAAAAAAAAAACAGCATTGTGCTTCTTGTGCCTAGACAATTTTCTGCCTTCAGCCTCATAGTTGTATACCTACAGTGTGAGATTCTAAGGCACTACTGCCTCTGAGTGCTCTTATTAAGAAATTTGGAATGTGATTTGGTGACATCATTACTATGATTCTCATGATTTTCCTTGCTGGAGGGAAAGCTGCATGGCAAGTAATTCCCTGCCTGTTTCATTTACTCATTGGATCTGTGCTCTTTGCACTTGGAACCTCTCCTGCTGCTTATGTATTCCTCCATCAGTCATCAGATCACTAGTAATCTGGGGGGGGTGGCACTGAAAAAAGTAAACAAAGACCTGCCTCTATCGTCACCACACAGACACAGGGGACAAAAAATTATCAACACAATTAGACCTAAATCAAACTGTCTCTATGCAACAGTTTTACTGTGTATTTGCAACCCGTATGTCTGTAGTCCTGGCCAGCCAGCTGTGACGTATTCGCAAAGCCCAGACTTATCACTGTAAATTCGAAAATTGAACTGTAAATAGACACGCAATTGAGAAGTGGTCTGAGGCTGGTTTGTCTGTTCTTTAGTGTAGAAGAGGGAGGAATTTATGAATTGAGATGTAACCATGTAGTAAAACTTTGCACAATCTGTCTTAATGATCCTGTTTAGCTTTACATTGCTATAAAACAGAATTGATAAACATCCCCTATTGTGTGGATCAAGGCATAGTAAGTTAGTCCCATAGAAAACATGGCCACAGAGAGACACCCCAGGCAATACTGATGACTAGTCCTGTGCCCACTGCCTGCCTTTTTTAAAAAGATATATATATATAATATATATATATATATATACACACACAGTATCTCAAAGAAGTGAGTACACCCCTCGCATTTTGTAAAAAAATTTCATTGTATCTTTTCATGTGACAACACTGAAGAAATTACACTTTTTTACAATGTAAAGTAGTGAGTGTACAGCTTGTATAACAGTGTAAATTTGCTGTCCCCTCAAAATAACTCAACACACAGCCATTAATGTCTAAACCGCTGGCAACAAAAGTGAGTACACCCCTAAGTGAAAATGTCCAAATTGGGCCCAATTCAGCCATTTTCCCTCCCCAGTGTGGTGTGACTCGTTAGTGTTACACGGTCTTAGGTGTGAATGGGCCAAGCCCAACCCCTGAAAAAAAAAATCCACCATAGTCCCCCCTCCACCAAACTGTACACTTGGCACACGTCCATCGGATTGCCAGACAGAGAAGTGTGATTGGTCACTCCAGAAATCACGTCTCCACTGCTCTAGAGTCCAGGCTTTACACCACTGCCTCCAACACTTTGCATTGCACTTGGTGATGTAAGTGAGGCTTGGATGCAGCTGCTCGGCCATGGAAACCCATTCCATGAAGCTCTCTAAGCACTGTTGTTGTGCTAATCTGAAGGCCACACCAAGTTTGGAGGTGTTTAACTATTGACTCTGCTGACAGTTGGCGACTTCTGCGCGCTGTGTGCTTCAGCATGCGCTGACCCCACTCTGTCATTTTACATGACCTACCACTTTGTGGCTGAGTTGCTGTTGTTCCCAGTTGCTTCAACTTTGCTATAATACCACTAACAGTTGACTGTGGAATATTTAGTAGCAAGGAAATTTCATGGATGAACTTATTGCACAGGTGGCAACCTATCATGGTGCCACGCTTGCATTCACTGAGCTCCTGAGAGCGTCCTATTATTTCCTATTATTAAATGTTTGTAGAAGCAGTCTGCTTGCCTAGGTGCTTGATTTTATACACCTGTGGCCATGGAGGTGATTGGAACACAATGAATTGCAGAGGTGTCCCAATACTTTTGGCAATATAGTGTATATATATATATATACTGTATATATATATATATATATATATATATATATATATATATAGTGAGGTATTGGTATATTATACCGCACATGTGATCTGACTGATGCTCAGGGCTCTTCTTCTCCATTTCACTCTGCTGTGAGTGTCTGCTGCTGTGTGAAAAGACTGCTAAAAAAACCCACTAAAAAGCCATAAGCGCTACCTGTTTCATTTTAGGAACCCATCAGGTATTCTGTTAGTCAGGAGTTGACCTGAATTAAGTTAGTGGTTTGGATGAGCAGATGTTTTTTTTTTTATACGGAGTTGCTCTACAAAGCCCTCCTGCATTGAAATTGTTTTTGCCAATTGCCTTGCTGGATAAAAGTGCAGGACAAACCCCAATACTTGTTGAAGGAGTGTAGGCACTCAAGAGGTCTAGGTGTAGTTTTTATATTGTACAACACAGGAAAACGACAAACTCACAAGTCCTGTCATGCCTTTTATGGCAATACATTAAAAGAACTGACATTTTGAAATTGTTAGGGCACACCATACATACATCACATACATATTTTCCAGAACTGTCAGTGCCTAATTTTTTCCCGATGCCTGAAAAAGAATTTGTTATTATGTTCAGCTAAATTCTAATTCAGACAACTCTGCCAAAAAGTACAGTCAAGTAATTGACTTCAAATAATTAGTACAGTTTATTCTACTTCCATGCCCCCAGTCTGCAAACTACTAGAAACTATATGAACTATAAAGGAGCAACAGCATACTGATGAAGTCATCACTCTGTTTTATCCTGTAGTTATCAAGATTCCAATATTAGATTGACAGCACTGTGCAATGTAGTAGGACTTTGACTAGTCTGCAGTGTTGTCCTTTCAATGTTGACCTGTCAATTTCAGTCCTGCTGCGCAGAGGATTATGAAGACCTTATATAAACAGATTGTAGCCACTATACTAGCAGTATTAAAAAAAATGTTTTTTAATACATAACTGAATTAAAGGCTGCCTTTTTATGTTTCTTGGAAGTTCAGGCGTTTAAATCTATTGTTCTATCAATAAATAGTTTGATTACCTCAATGTTCTGCCTTTTATAAGTGAATAATGCAATATATTTTCATGGTTAGTCTTACTGAGAAATTCACATAAAAAGCATGAAGAAGAGTCAGGATAAAAATCAAATAACATATTCAGCTTTGAGGTCAGTTCACTAAGATGTAGAAGTCATTTTAACTGCATTTAGCATTTTATCCCATGATGATTTTCTTTTTCAAATGGTCAGTTGATAAACAGAAATATTTCTTAGGTGTGCACTAGTGTGAACTTAGCCTTAAAGTGTTACTAAACCCAGCACCCTGCATTCACTATTTCTGGTCACCCACAGTACACAGAACATGGAAATGCAATTATTATAGTAAATATAAACTGTTAAATACCTTTTCTCATCAACAGTTAGAGCAGTCTTGTGACTTCTGTCAGTGTTCAGCAGAGCACTGGTTATAGCTTGTAGGAGGAGTTTTCATTCTCCTGTAGGAGGATGGAGAACCCCTGACTTCTGTCTGGACAGTGCTGATTGGCCCTGTGCTGATCACATGCACTCTCCCAAGAAAAAAAAACTCTCTAGCAATACACAGCAAACTGAGCATGTGCAGCTTGCCCCAGAGCCTTTGTTCTATCAGCATTTATTTAGTAGACACTGGAAGAAGGGGAGGATAAGAGAACTTGGGATCACACATTCCTTTTACACAATGCAGAGGATTAACCCCTTAGTTCCCACAGTGAGTATAACAAGCATGCTTTACTGCACATACAGACTGATTTCACTGTTGTGGGTTTAGTAACACTAACTTTGATTTTCTCAGAGGAAGGTTTTTTTGAAACTGCATGTTCCTATGGCAGAATTGGCATTTGACCGGAATGTACCTTGGCACAATTTTGCTGGAAAAATGACTTATCAGCAACAGCCAGTGATCAAGTTTTACATGCAAGGACATTATATAAGTATACAAAGCAAGGCTAAAAGCACCCAAGCTCATTGGTTGCGCTATGACCTTTCTTCAAGATCGATGCTTAATATCCTCTGGGTATATTTTCAGGAATATGCTATGTTTAATAAATTATTTTATTTTTTTCACAGTCTAATCTACAGGGTTTGATTTAGTGGTTCACAATAGGAAGTTCTTTTGATGGGTTTAGGGGGGACTGGTAATTTTATCATTATCAACAGTTTAAACTGTTGTCTAAAGTCACATTTAAAATGTTCAGTTATTAAAGCAATCCTTTCAGAAAACACATTATAGATAGCTGGTTGTGGTAGTGTACTTTCTGCAGTGTTAAATCGGACCAGAACTAAAAATGTGGAGATTTTGCCTAAAAAAAGTACCCTTTTTCAAAAATGTTTTGAATTCCCCTTGAAAAAAAAAACAGCATTGTGCTTCTTGTGCCTAGACAATTTTCTGCCTTCAGCCTCATAGTTGTATACCTACAGTGTGAGATTCTAAGGCACTACTGCCTCTGAGTGCTCTTATTAAGAAATTTGGAATGTGATTTGGTGACATCATTACTATGATTCTCATGATTTTCCTTGCTGGAGGGACAGCTGCATGGCAAGTAATTCCCTGCCTGTTTCATTTACTCATTGGATCTGTGCTCTTTGCACTTGGAACCTCTCCTGCTGCTTATGTATTCCTCCATCAGTCATCAGATCACTAGTAATCTGGGGGGGGGTGGCACTGAAAAAAGTAAACAAAGACCTGCCTCTATCGTCACCACACAGACACAGGGGGACAAAAAATTATCAACACAATTAGACCTAAATCAAACTGTCTCTATGCAACAGTTTTACTGTGTATTTGCAACCCGTATGTCTGTAGTCCTGGCCAGCCAGCTGTGACGTATTCGCAAAGCCCAGACTTATCACTGTAAATTCGAAAATTGAACTGTAAATAGACACGCAATTGAGAAGTGGTCTGAGGCTGGTTTGTCTGTTCTTTAGTGTAGAAGAGGGAGGAATTTATGAATTGAGATGTAACCATGTAGTAAAACTTTGCACAATCTGTCTTAATGATCCTGTTTAGCTTTACATTGCTATAAAACAGAATTGATAAACATCCCCTATTGTGTGGATCAAGGCATAGTAAGTTAGTCCCATAGAAAACATTGGCCACAGAGAGACACCCCAGGCAATACTGATGACTAGTCCTGTGCCCACTGCCTGCCTTTTTTAAAAAAATATATATATATATATATATATATATATATACACACACAGTATCTCAAAGAAGTGAGTACACCCCTCGCATTTTTGTAAAAATTTCATTGTATCTTTTCATGTGACAACACTGAAGAAATTACACTTTTTTTACAATGTAAAGTAGTGAGTGTACAGCTTGTATAACAGTGTAAATTTGCTGTCCCCTCAAAATAACTCAACACACAGCCATTAATGTCTAAACCGCTGGCAACAAAAGTGAGTACACCCCTAAGTGAAAATGTCCAAATTGGGCCCAATCAGCCATTTTCCCTCCCCAGTGTGGTGTGACTCGTTAGTGTTACACGGTCTTAGGTGTGAATGGGCCAAGCCCAACCCCTGAAAAAAAAAAATCCACCATAGTCCCCCCTCCACCAAACTGTACACTTGGCACACGTCCATCGGATTGCCAGACAGAGAAGTGTGATTGGTCACTCCAGAAATCACGTCTCCACTGCTCTAGAGTCCAGGCTTTACACCACTGCCTCCAACACTTTGCATTGCACTTGGTGAAGTGAGGCTTGGATGCAGCTGCTCGGCCATGGAAACCCATTCCATGAAGCTCTCTATGCACTGTTGTTGTGCTAATCTGAAGGCCACACCAAGTTTGGAGGTGTTTAACTATTGACTCTGCTGACAGTTGGCGACTTCTGCGCGCTGTGTGCTTCAGCATGCGCTGACCCCACTCTGTCATTTTACATGACCTACCACTTTGTGGCTGAGTTGCTGTTGTTCCCAGTTGCTTCAACTTTGCTATAATACCACTAACAGTTGACTGTGGAATATTTAGTAGCAAGGAAATTTCATGGATGAACTTATTGCACAGGTGGCAACCTATCATGGTGCCACGCTTGCATTCACTGAGCTCCTGAGAGCGTCCTATTATTTCCTATTATTAAATGTTTGTAGAAGCAGTCTGCTTGCCTAGGTGCTTGATTTTATACACCTGTGGCCATGGAGGTGATTGGAACACAATGAATTGCAGAGGTGTCCCAATACTTTTGGCAATATAGTGTATATATATATATATATACTGTATATATATATATATATATATATATATATATATATATAGTGAGGTATTGGTATATTATACCGCACATGTGATCTGACTGATGCTCAGGGCTCTTCTTCTCCATTTCACTCTGCTGTGAGTGTCTGCTGCTGTGTGAAAAGACTGCTAAAAAAACCCACTAAAAAAAGCCATAAGCGCTACCTGTTTCATTTTAGGAACCCATCAGGTATTCTGTTAGTCAGGAGTTGACCTGAATTAAGTTAGTGGTTTGGATGAGCAGATGTTTTTTTTTTTTATACGGAGTTGCTCTACAAAGCCCTCCTGCATTGAAATTGTTTTTGCCAATTGCCTTGCTGGATAAAAGTGCAGGACAAACCCCAATACTTGTTGAAGGAGTGTAGGCACTCAAGAGGTCTAGGTGTAGTTTTTATATTGTACAACACAGGAAAACGACAAACTCACAAGTCCTGTCATGCCTTTTATGGCAATACATTAAAAGCAACTGACATTTTGAAATTGTTAGGGCACACCATACATACATCACATACATATTTTCCAGAACTGTCAGTGCCTAATTTTTTCCCGATGCCTGAAAAAGAATTTGTTATTATGTTCAGCTAAATTCTAATTCAGACAACTCTGCCAAAAAGTACAG